AAGAGGCTGAGTAGAAAGAGATGAGAAATCTAGAAATGAAGAAAAATAGAAAGGAAAAAAGAAAGAGAAACAAACCAAAAAAAAAGAAGAAAAAGGAAAAAAGAAAGAGATAACAAACACACAAAAAAAGAAGAAGGGGGAAAAAAAACAAAACAAAACCAGGGATCCCACCAGCGTGGCGGCTGGGACCAGGGAAGCTGTTCCCCAGCTGAGTGGCACTTCACAGCCTGTCAAGAAGTAGCAAAGATGGCACATGGAGTCAGGTGTTTGAGAGAAAGGAGGGGGAGGAGGTGAGAGGTAGGGAAGAAACCAAAAGAGGCTGAAAAAAGCAACACCAGCAACAAAGAAATGGCAGTGAAAAAGCTAGCTGGTGTGGGCGGGGCAAATCCTTGAGGCAAGAAACTGGCGCCTCCTGTGCTGTGGTTGCAGCCCGCTGGGAAGCTCCAGATGGTCCTGCTGGGAAGCAGCAAATCGGCCTTCTGGGAAGTGGCTAAGGCTGAGCAGCGGGAGGCAGGGTAGGGGGTGGTTACTGGTGGTCTGTCTCCTGCGGGAAGCTCCATGAATCTGCTTTCCCATACTCCCTGTCTGCCGATCTCTGACAGGAGTCCAAGATGGTGATCCGTGCTGCATTAACTTATAGGGGACCTCTGCTTGTAACTGTCCTCGCTGTCTGTTCTCTGTCAATTTCTTATTGCATTTGGTGCTTGGGTGAGTTCATTATTTCTTCCTTTGATGCTTAGGGTTCCAGGATTGACGTTTGTCTCTGTTTTACTTAGTTTTTCGGGTCTTTGTTATGGAGGGACGGTATGGTGCTTCTGTCTATAGTGCCATGTTGGCTCTGCCAGAATCAACATTCGTATTCTTACTGGAACGAATTTTGACGTGTAAAGCAGATTATGCTGAAAGAATACTACCACTTAACAGCAAACTTGAAGCCAGTTCCAGAAAGGAAACTATCTCTCTTCCAGAATAATCTGTGAACTCACTATATTCCATCCCAGTTGATCCATGCACTTCTTGTTACTTCTGAACAGAAGAGTCACAGGACATTGGATTTGTTAATAAGCATCCCAGTTATGTGAGTCTACCCTTGGGTAGGAATAACGGTCTCATTATCAGGAACTAAATTCCTTACTTCCTACTCAGATAAGCTGAGGCAGACTAGTAAGGACTTTTTCTGATAAGTAATGATCCAGGAACAAATGTACCAAATTGGATTTTCATATGGATAATCAGTTATTTAACATTGCAAGTCTTCGTATTCCCCGCAGAAGAATCCTCATCGAATGTAATCTGTTTAATCATCATGTATAGAACAACATTAAGATTCCTTAAAACCAGGACTGTTTTTTTTCCTCTTTTCCTCCTCCTTTGTTAAAACAGAAGGTTGAATTTTATTTTCCAACTCATCGTGTTTCATTTTGATATTTTAAAGATGTCCTTTTACTCCATGAGCATTTTCTCACAAAATTGACAGTTTATTTCCCTTTTCCATCAGTTAGAAATAATATCAAATTCCAAAACAAGGTGAGGATGACCCATTAATATTTAGATGAGGTTTTATACTTCTAAAATAAATATTTATTCTATAACAGTAATTTTGTTGTGAGGCTCTGATGACAGAGAAAACATACCTTTTAGAAATTGCTTCCTCTAACCCTACATATCGAAAGAAACCTGCAAATAATAGCCTTGGCTTGTTCTTTCCTTCAGTCTTAGCACCTTACTGCGAACTGCTTCTTAAATTGTTCTTCACATGTTTGTTAAAGCTTAATGTTCAGGATTAGAGATAACTCATATAAAAGCCCATCATCAAATCAGTCCATAAATATTTGAGTAGATTTTTCACTAGGTGCTGATCATCAGCAGCTCCAGACTCATGTTTCCAGCTGCCTTCAGGATCTCTTCTTTCCTTGAGTTCCAAGCCACAATCATGTGCCCCAGCCTGCTCCATGTACTTTGTTTCCTTAACCTGTTAATAACTCTATAATTGTGAATCATTCAAGTTGCAATCAATTGCAGTTACCTCTGATTTCTCCCTTCTCTTTGGCCTTTAACCCAGGCTTTTTCAAGTCTTGCCAGCTCTTCCAGTATAACATGCCCGGCATTTCCCCCATCTGTCTAATTTTACTATCATTTTTTTGGCAGTATCTCTTGAGCCATTGTTAAAATCTTTTTTTTATTTTTTTTATTTTTTATTATACTTCAGGTGAAGGCTTACAGAACAAATAGTTTCTCATGAAACAGTAGTACACATGTTGTTTTATGACATTGGTTAACAACCCAACAACATTTTAACCCTCTAAATTCTCAACCTTTTTGTTTTTGGTGAAAATACACATAGCCAAAGATAACACCGTTTCAAAAATTTCTACATACACAGTTCAGTGACATTGACTACGCTCTTCCAATTGTGCTGTTATTCTCACTTAAGATGAAGGCTTACAGAACAAAA